AAAATTAAGCCAGGGAAATAAGATCATTTAAAGATAAAGACATAACTCTTCAAGTTAAAGATCAAATGCAACAAGTTAACATACAGTGACTTGAAAATTTCTAATTTAGCAATTTGAGTGTGAAGTCAACTTTGGTCACATTTAAATAAAATACAATCAACACAATTTTTGTTTTCATATTTTTTTCAGAAATTTCGATCACATGTCGTAAATTGTAAAAAATATTTCAAACAGACTCAGACAAATTGATTATCACTTGCCTTTTCAGTGTTGCAGTCCACTTTACATATAGAACAGTACGTTAGTTTAGCTCTCTTTGCTCCACCATATTGTGGTGATCCACTTCTCTTTCTGTCACTGTATGAATCCAAACCTCTGCCACCAGAAGATCGGCGCTACAAAATATGGCTTTTACTGTTATACAGATATTGAAAACCAGAGAATACCACTAAGGATGCACAAAAGCAGTACAATATCGACCCATGCGTAGCAGAGGTTGATGTAAACCTGTACAGCATCAATTCATACTTTGGAGTTTTCTTGTGATAGTATTATCATACAACCTTTTCCTGCTTAATTTAATGAGATTGTAGCCCCAAATGGCATTTGAAAGATGGATGAATGTTCTGTAACTGCCTTTCTTTAAACTCCCAATTCACTTGCCAGTGTGAATTGGAAGTGGGGCTATGCTAATGAATGTTGTTAATCACTTGCATAGCCTATGACGCATCCTGTTTCAGCGGTCCAACATCACATGACTTTGATTGACAGTAGTAATTATTCAAGATTACTAGCGCGTCTCGTTCCTCGGTTCGTGTTTTTGACTTTTATCCGCCAAAATCTCAGCTTGTTGACTATTGTCACAAATACTACACATAGTCACTGCTGTGATATTCACAGTCACATGCATCCACTTTGGCACAACATAATCGATCTGTAAGTTTGAGAAAACGCGTTTTTACCGGAACTTGGCTGGAGCTGTTTACTACAGCGTAAAAGCAATGAAATAATCCCTATTGTCTAGGAGCGTATTTATAGTATATCTGGGCCTTTAACTTACTGAAAAGTAGCATTATATAATAAATTACACTCACTTCTAATGATCGTTTCTGGGCATGATGCTTGTTTGCTGCATGCAAGGCACCATCTGCATGTGAAACCACGTCCTAGAGAAATAAAATATAGTTTTTATGTTGACAGAATGGTGCTAGTTGGCTTCAATACTATACATATGATCACTAAAAGGCTCCCTTATAGCAGATACATGAATTGAGTCCCAAGCAACGATAACGCGCTAAAAACGCAGAGGATCATGGGTAGACACTTGTTTGTAAACAATGACACTATAAGGCCATCTGACACATGCACAGGTGACTACTCCCCTGCTTTAGACACCTTTGCAAAGAAATTGGATTCACCTGAATACATTGGTACTGCACTACACACAATCAGCTACTTACATTCCACACTGAAAACGATGTTTGACAGACTAAACAACGCCATCTATTGCCATCAAGTCTTCTAATAGTATGACCATCAACAACATCCTATAATAAATAACGAAAAATAATTCATCTCTATTATGTGAGAAACACAAATTTACTAGTTTGCATGTTAAGTCAATGCATTTTCAGTGATGCAACACATAGCATCACTGACATTTTAATTGTATCTACACGAGATACAACTTTAAAATATTCCATTGTTTTTAACATTTTGCTAACATTTACAGCAGCGAGTCCTGATGGTAATATATTTAGTGTACATTTTTATCATAAATGACGCTTCTCAACATGTACTTTTTTTTGTACCTAATATATGATAATATATGTCCCAATAACATTGCCTTAACCTATACCAATCAACTACTACTACTCTAGCATATAAGACTACAGGCAAGTGTGAATCAAACTGCTCATTGACAAGCAATTTGACTATCACGGCCATTCACAGGACAATCTGTTATAATTTTTATAATCTAGACTGCTATATCCAGACAAGCTTGGTGTGTAAGCAAGTCAAAGCAAACAATGTCTACTAATAATCCGAATGCTTTAACAACTAATCGATTAATTAGTTCAAAGCACCAATTTTTGAAATCAACGAATAGGCTAAACAATGGTATATTTGGGGCAAATACTTGGCTATATCACAAGCCAGTTATCGTAAGTAATACAATTATGACACTTGGGGTCTGCGCTGCATTTGATAAATATAAACTGTTATTGTTATGGCGTGCAGACAATGATGTAGCATGCAGTAACTATTTTACTGTATAATGCACCTTACAAGAGAAATGACAAATATATATAAACGTGATCCTACCGAGTAACGTCTGTTTCTCTGTTCCGGTTTGTAAGCCTGTTGTGACGTTCTAGAACTATTGCTAGAATACCAAGAGTGGTCTACAGCTCTAGTGGGTTCACGATTCATGGAATAACCGTAGTCATGGAATGAATCCATTCTACCCAGTGATGAAGGCATGGGTTCTGCAAACCTAGAAGCTTCAAGGTTATAACCAGATTGCAGGGAGTCTCTGGAGTCTCCCATCAAGGCGTACTGGTTATACCCAGACTGAGACCCGTTTTGACGGTCCATCATTCGAGAGGAACCGTCCAATAGTGACGGTATACCGGCAGATCTCCCACCAACATTGTGATCTTGCTGAGGTGTTGATGCAATTTGGGAAATCTTTCCATGCAGAAGCCTGACTTGAATTGCCTGGTTCGCATCCAAGTTTCCAAATCTTAATTTATCTTCCAAGGAATTCAGGAGTCTGTGAACCCCAGATTGATCAGATTGTTGAGGATTAGACATTAGTGGTGGAATGGACGAGGATCGGTCCGATAACGATGACAGTGTCTGCGGCTGTTGTGATTCATAGCTGGGATATTTGGATGGTAGATCCACTAATCTAGATTGTCTCTGCGGTTGTTGTAATTCAGGATTAGGATATTTAGAACCCTGATAAGACTGTTCTTGATAAACAGCCTCTTCACGAGCATAATCAGATGGATAAGATGATGCTGAAGGGTAAGTTTGGGAAGAGGGACGCCTTTCAGGAAGCAGGCTTGGTATAGCAGAGTCAGAATGTGGATAAGAATCTGACTGGTGGTGCTTCTCCTGCTTATCAATCTGGAAAGCAAACTCTTGTTGCAAGGTTTGCATCATTTGTTTGACTTGGGAATCAGATGTGTTCTGATTCTGACCAACATTTTGCATCATCATTTGCAACATCTGCTGCCCCAACTGCCTCTCACGTTCACCCTCTCTTTCAGAGGAATAATGCATTATTGTATTCTGTTAATGTCAATCTGAAAAAACAGAAATAATAGTGTTGTAATTAAAAATAACTTATTATTCTATAACAAGTACATATTCATAAGTGAATGATTCACATTAACTGTAAATGTTCAACTCAGGACTGCACATAGTGATGCAGTGCAGTTAAATTTGACGGCCATGGCTCACATGGTAGACAGTGCGTTACAGTACATGTTCTATATTTACAAGTACTTGATACTTTACAAGACAGTAACAGCATAACAAATAAATCAAGTTGCTACAGCTCTAACACTGTCAATTATCTTGAGACATCCATGTTTTATTTTGTTCTAGACAACAGGAAGCAATGACTAACATTTCTGAATCAGGAACATCAGCTTTACCATTACCATATGATGGTAGGGAATGAATGTCTTGTCTACTTATGATCAAACACGGTTTACCGATCGCTGGAATAAGTGTCCCATTTTCACATCAAATAGATTGTTTGATGGACAATAATTTTTCTTGGTGTTATGGTTGATAAGACAGGTTACTTATATGCGAGTGATAGCATACAAGGTTCACCACATGTCAACACATATTAGTTAAGCAATACCACCAAGTTGTGTTTTTTACTGTTTGCAAAAAATGAATTGGCTGTTACTGGGAGATTTTGTTCAAAATGATGTCTACATGCACTTCAGTAGCAATACACACGAGACGAGGAATGCTAGAGGATGGGGTTAATTTGCATAATACTATGTGCACTTTGGAACAATAGAATAAATTACAATAACTATAACTTGTATTGTTCTATGAATATATGGCATTTTTATTGGCCAAGCATGTAAAACCAGTACTTAAAAAGTGCAATTAGAGAGTGCAAACTGACAAATTTTGACTTCAATTCAATCACTTGAACAGAGAGGAAACTGACAACAGAAGATGGTATCATAGGATTTTAAAGGCACTTTGAAAGTAATACTGTAAAAAAAACCTTGTGGAAATCTGCAACAAGAAATCTGCTAAAATTAAACCTAGTTAATATTCAATAAATCTTCTACAGAACTGACATAGACACAGAGTTCTCGTCAAAAAATCCTCTCAGGGTTTTGGCTAATTTGCATATTAATTCGCTTACTAATTAACAATGTATAGTTATATTTTTTTAGGCCACAGTGCATGGACACAAGCTTTATTATATACAGTGAAACACATTAGTTAATTAAAATGAAATATATTAGTAAATATTGTTAATTGTTTACAATTACATACAATTCATATTTGGAGTTTTGAAAAAGAAATTATAACTATGAAATCATTGTGAAAATTGAGAATTGTGTGAATTTGACCCCCCCCCCCCAATCTTTTGTTTTACTGCTCCCTTAATAGCTTTGCACATATGCTGGTAATTTGCATTCTACATGTCAACAGTAAAACAACATGGTCGCTGTTAGGAACTTTTCATCTCAGTCGGGTTTTCTTTTATTTTTCTGCTCAAAATGAAGGTTAATTGTGCTAGCTAAATATTTAAACTGTACCCCTGACTTGATCAATAAAAAATAGCTGATTAGGAAAATGTGTTTCTGGTGCCAGAGGTTCGAATTATCGATAAACTTCCATAGTTGTGTCTAATCTTCCATAGTCAACGATGGAGGTCATGTCACAAATGTAGTCATTTCTCCAGCACTATCAGGTACTCTTGAGTATCACTTACTTCAAAGCTAATTCAAGAATGATAAGATTCAGTGATAGTGAATTACTTCTCAATTTTATCATTACTTTTAAGCAGTCTTGGTTGGCCGAACTTGTGTTTTTCCGATAATGTGTTCTAGTGCATTGTTATGTTCATTTGCTTTTTACGTTTGAACACAACGAAAACCAAGCTTCACACTTTCTTTCAG